ATATATAAAACAAGTGATGCACAATGCAACTGCTCACCACCCGCTGACCGATGCCCAGCCTGTCCTGAGCAGCGATCACTCCCCCCAAGCCGCGATCACACAGCCCGAGCTGCGACCACTCTGCCCGCGACTGACCAACTGAACCAACTAACCCCCCTGAGCATGACATTATATGGTACAGAATAGCTCTTTGGTCATTTTGGGTCAGCTGTCCTAGCTGTGCTGTACTCCCAGCTTGTTATGCCCCTGGCTGAGCAGGAGAAGCTCAAAAAGTCCTTGAGTAGTCTGAGCACTACTTGGCAACAACTGAAAACATCAGTGAGTTATCAACATTCTTCTGGTACTAAATCCAAAACACAGCACTATGCTAGCTACTATGAAGAAAATTAACTCTATCCCAGCCGAAACCAGGACACTTACAGCCTCAGTTATTCTATGATTCATAAGCATTGGAATGAGCTGCCTAGGGAAGGGTTCAAGTCCCCATCCCTGGGGGTATTTAAAAGCCGGGCAGACGAGGTGCTTAGGGACAGGGTTTAGTGGTGGGATGGCAGGGTTAGAGGAACGGTTGGGCTTGGTGATCGTAAAGGTCTTTTCCAACTTAAATGATTTTGTGATGCTATAAGCCATTTTATTTCTTTGGACTTACAGTTCCTCCATATCAAAGGAATATATTCATTCAAACATTAGACCTTGTCTAAATCAAGAGATGCTGTCAGATAGCATTAGAACTGTTACTTTATGTCCTTTATTTATTAAGTTGCTTTTTCTAACTGAGCTTTTCACCATTAACAGTTAACTTCAGTAAAAAATATTTTTTGATTCATTATTGCATGAGTGTCTTTCTCAAGAATTTCGGCATGGTGGTCTATTACAAATCATCCCCAAGTTGGTGTGCACTGCTTGCTTTTATGAGTTAGTCACTATTAACACATTTTTGTGATCTTGTGGGATTGGCACCCACCTACCACAGAACAGAACAATTTCCTGTGGCATAGACATCTGGCTCTGATAGAAGATCATTAAGCTATCAACTCACGTTGCAATATCATCCAGAGGAATTTGCATGGAATTGCAGAAAGAAAAGGTGTCCTGTGCAGAGACAGACATCCACATGGTACTTCTTTCAGAAGGATAAATCTTAGCGTCAGTCTGAGAGTATTCTCTTCATCTGAATCGCTATTTTGTCTTTTTAGATTACCAGTGAATGACATTGCTGTTGAATTTTCACTTTCCTTTGGTTTCCATTCCTTCCCTCATGCCTCTTTATTGTTTCTAGGTTCCCAAAAGATACCATGAATATGTCACAGCTCCCAGCCAGCAAAGGCTAAGTGCCAGCCTCCCTCAGCTAATGAGAAACGAATGCTCCAGAGCAATGCACTCAGCGCTGATCTTCCATTCACCACCCCTCCGAAGTTTATACTGCCATCTTCACAACTCCTGTCCCAGGTAACCTCAGATATGACTCTTGGGTATTGATGTTTAGACAGCAATAGACTTCCACCAATATGCTTTCACAGAATAATGTTGAATTAGGTCCCGTTCAAAAAGCTTGGACTCTTACTTGTTGGGCGTTAAAGTAGAAAATAAGTACAAATAAAGCACCGATCCTCAAATCTAGAAAGAAGAAATGGAGTAGGGCTCCTACCCCAGTGCAAAGAGACAAGTCTCTGGAGCACTTTCTTGTTTTGCTGACAGAGGAGCTGTACGGTGTGGTGGGACAAGCAGTGTGGTGGGATGATCAGCGTGGTGGAGACTGGCTGGCAGTATCCCTGCTCCCAGCATCCTGCTCTGTGGCAGCTCACTGGCAGGGCAGGAAACAGGGCAATAAGCCACTGAGCCCTGAATGTCCCAGACTGCTCAGAGGGAGCCAGCAGGCTGTCAGCAGCTTTCTGGGAGACCTGAGTGGGAATTCCCAGGGCCAGGCCTTGACATCAGGGCGTGCGTGAGCTTTGTTGGGAGCGAGAAGGCTCCCATTGTACACCTACTGCTGCACACTGAAGGTTCCAACTCGAATGGGTAAGGCATGGGTGTGCGCCACAGGAATGCATGTGCAGGTGAGCTTTATTGGAAGAACAGGCTGGCTTTCATCAGTGAGTGCCGCAGAGTGACAGGTCAAGACGCTGGTGGTTTGGTGGAAGGTGCCTTGCTACTCTGATGCAGGGGAAAGGCGCTCTCTCAATTCCATTTCTCCACAGCTTTCCCCTTCAGCATCTGCCCAAGTTGTCTGTGGGAGGAATACGTGTCTGCGTATAGAATGTAGCTAGGCATTCATCACTTTATGTTAAGACTGGAGTGATGAAAAGTATCTTCCTCATTGGTACAACAGTCATCTATGTGAAATATTTTTGAGTAGGCACAGAGTCCTCCGCCCTTTCCTTTTCATTTATTTCTGATTGTGTTCATGGGCATGAGCACATTTTTTCTATAGCTCCTGACTCAGAAGTTACGAATGTTATCAGAACTGGAGAGCAGAGTCTTCCAATGGCTGCCTCGGAGTGTGGAGCACCAGACCATTTTCCATACTCTCATCTTTCCCCCTTTCTACTCTCCCACTCATCCGCAAGGAGCAGCTGCAGTATTCACTTTCAGCCAGAAGGGAAGGCAAGCAGACAGCTGTCACGCTATGAATCAGATTTTAAACTGTGGTTTGGAGGGGAAGATTTTAGCTTTATTTCCCACTTGCAGAACAAAGAGCATCTGTTTTTGACACTTGCAGTTTTATGCTGATCTGGGAGTCTGACTTGCAATTA